TGAAGCTTTTCAGCAGCGCGTGGATTCTAGATTTCCTCGGAGCCATATTCTTGAGTAGCCTTCGTTATCGTGGAGTTTTAGATGCAGCTTGTTGAACTACGTTGTCTTGAATATTGTTCACAGAATAGGGGATCTTGGAACAATTGTCCTCAGTGATGCATTGTTCAGAACTTGTCCAAAGTTATGCGCGATCCTAGGACAACTGCTCCACACGTTGAGCCATGTTATTTCGGGCAGAGAGCTCCTACCAGCTCCTACCTACTCCGCCAGCTCTGGATCGACATTGGACATCTGTATTCTCCGTCTTGGCTCAGTGGCCTCCCGACGCGACAGCACGACATTGGATATCTTCTAGCCACGAAGCCATCAGAGGCAGAGGCTATGGTCGAGCTCCGACCGAAAGTATCAGTCTTCGTGATCGCTATTGTCCGCTCGGAGTATCGTCCGGCCGAGCTGATCCGTCTGAGCTCGCTGGAAGGTCTGAGAATGCGCGGCCTCCCAGTCGTCGATGCAGCGATTATGCGGCGGGCCGGAGTGCCAATTTCTGGGAGCCGGCATCCGGCCCAAGACGGAAAAGAAGAGCGAATGCCTCCCACTCGTCCTCGTCCAAGAAAAGCCGGGTCTCCGCCAGCTCTGCCGGCCATGAAGCCGAGGAAGAGGCGAGAGTGTCCCAGGAGGAGTCGACCGATGGTGCCTCCGATAACGACAGGTCATGAATGTTGCCCAGGGGCGTCGGGAATCAAAAGGAGTAAAAATCGTTTCACGTATCCCGGTGAAATTTCTGAGTTAATCGTCCCGGAATCTTCGCTCTTCGGATTATCCATTCCGAGGATACCTTTTTTTCAGGATGAATGTCACGAGGGTGTATCTTCTAGGATAATTGTCCTAGGTATGGACAGTTCTGGAATAATGCTCCAAATGACAGAATACGGTACTCGACGGGGGGAACAAGCTAGAAATGTGCTCCGGGGTGTTTCCCTCTTCTGCATAATTATCCTGATATGTCCTAATTGGAAAAAGACGTCCTCAAAATATTCATTCTGAAACGATTTGTTTCCGTGAGTGATCTTCCGAACAACTACATATCCAAAAACGATGCTCCTCAGAACAAATTGCGGCGGAAACTTCGCTGGCAGCGGCAATGGGAGAGAGATATGATCCGGAGAATATCTCCTTTGTGTGGGAAACCGAGTTCCTCAGGGATAGAACCGTATATAGGGGGAAGGCCGAACTTCCGGACGAGGAAATGGAGAAATTTTTTCGGGAAACCATATCGAGGAAACCGGACGGACGTTATGTGATACATTTGCCATTCAAGCCGAACGAGGAATCGCGGGCGAGAAAAAATCCAGCATTGCTGGGAGCCGTTGATACCGATTTCCAGGATCTTCTGAAATCTGAGTGCATACGGGATCTTCGGTGGCAGGTTTTCGAGACAACTTTGCAGAAAATAGCATGCTCGGAATACTCATTCCAGGATGAGCAGTTTCCGAGACAGTCTTTCGGAAAATATCCCTCTCTGAAACTTTAATTCCAAGATTGGTATCTATATATATAAAAACGTATGTCTGTCTGTCTGTTTGTCTGTCTGTTTGTCTGTTTGTCTGTCTGGTGTCACCTATAGACTCGAAAACGGCTGAACCGATCGTCGTGAAAATTTAGGAGCGTGTTCTGGGCGATCCAGCGGTGGTTATAGGCGGGTCAGTTCTCCGATGCGATGAGTCCTTCTACCTTAAAAAAATTATTTGAGTGCTCCACCCACGAAAATCCGAAAACTCGGAAAAAAATTGAAAAATCGCAAATTCGCTAAATTCACAAACGCCTGAACCGATCGCCGCAGAAACTCAGGGGTGGGTTCCCGGGAGCCTCAGGAAGGTCATCTGAGCGTCGTTATCATGTGCTGGGTCCTCCCACCATGAGAAAATTATTTGAGTTGTCCTCTCACCGAGAATCAAAGATTTCATCAAGGGAAAGACGGGAATTTGTAGGACTTTCAACGGCTGGACCACTATGAGGGCGCGGATTCTCGGGAGCTCCTAAGAAGGCTATCGGGGGTTGCCCTTATCATTGGCCTCTGTCTTTCTACTTTCTACTAATGAATCTCGCAGAAAATTGCTGCAGCCGTGAAGGGTATGGATTTTTTGAAGAACATCTATATATATAAAAACGTATGTCTGTTTGTCTGTCTGTCTGGTGTCACCTATAGACTCGAAAACGGCTGGACCGATCGTCGTGAAAAAGCGTGTTCTGGGCGATCCAGCGGTGGTTATAGGGGGGTCAGTTCTCCGATGCGATGAGTCGTTCTACCTTAAAAAGATTATTTGAGTGCTCCACCCACGAAAATCCGAAAACTCGGAGAAAAATTGAAAAATCCGAAATTCGCGAAATTCAAAAACGCCTGAACCGATCGCCGTGAAAATTCAGGGGTGGGTTCTCGGGAGTTGTAGAAAAGCGATGAGGGGGTCGTCGTGCCCGTATGATGAGGATGAGCTCTTTTTCCCTTGGAAATTGAGTACCGGGTCCCTCACCGGAAATCGTTCGGCGGGAGTTTC